CAATTTAATATATTATAATTGAAAATATTAATAAATTTAATTTTTAAGTGATTAAATTTTATCATAATGATTACAAAATGTTATGTTTACTTTTCGAAATTTTATATTTTATTAAAAATTGGACAATAATTATGAAGTTTATATTTAAGGGTATATAAATTTTAAACAAGTGGAACGTAAATTGAACCGCAGTATGTATAAGGAACGAAGGAACAATACGGTATATTCCAAGTGTATCAAGTGGTACTATCGAAAACTCTGGAGCTTAAATTTTCACACTGGTTTTCCGAGGAGGATTTCAACGTTTTATGCTTTTATTACACCGTATTAAGTGCAAAGGAAACGTTTCAAATTGTAAAAGAAGTTAAACTCCACTAACCTAGTGGATTGTTTTTAAATCAAAAGCAGAAATGGTAATTGACTTTTGTTTTGACTACATTTAAGTTGTGATAGACATTTGATATTTGTTTATTTGGAATCTAACTTTGATGTTGTAATCAAATATTTTCATTATTTTATTATATATAAGTTGGAAACATTTTTTAACGAATTTATAATTCTTAAATTGATTATGGTCGATTTTAGATTTAATGTATTTTTATACGTATATATATACGCCGTTTTAGTTAAGGAAAAAATGATAAACATTTATTTTTAAAACGTTACAATAAACATTATTACAAAATGAAATTTTTTTAAATTTGTGCGTATTCTTATATGTTCTTTATTATTATCATAACCACAAAATATAACCTATAAGTACTATATGGATTACAAACATATATTAGTTTAAACTAAAATATAAAATTAACAGTTTAAAGATTGAACAGCTATTTTTGTCTTTATGTATTAGAATAGCCAGAATGTAATACATTTGTTTCCTTTTTTTAGTCTCACACAATATTACTTGTTCAACCAGGCAATAGACCTGAAACAAGAACATATTCTGATTATGAAAGTGTTAATGAGTGTATGGAAGGTAAGAATATTTTATTATGATAATTAAAAACTAATTTAACTCTATATATATACACACATTACTTAAATATAAAGATAAGGAACATAATTAAAATGTGTTTCTCCAACATAGGAGTATGCAAAATTTATGAAGAGCATTTAAAAAGGCGAAACCCAAATACACCAACTATAACGTATGATATCAGCCAGTTATTTGATTTTGTTGATCAACTTACAGACTTATCATGTCTTGTTTATCAAAAGTCTACAAATACGTATGCTCCATACAATAAAGATTGGATTAAAGAAAAGATATATGTTTTACTACGCAGAGCTGCAGGACATAGTGAATAACTAATGAATAAAAATAGATATATGCTTTTATGTATAAGACAAATTAACTTTAAGTAAAGATCTATATTACCATTTGTAATAATAAATATATAACCAGAAAAGAAACTACTGTTATATTCCAATTGTGAAACAATATCCTTAACATTATTTTTAAGTATGATGTGGTTTCTTACTTTGCATGTACATTGTAATATGTATATTATATATTATAGTGTAACATATATATAATTGTGCAATACTATTACTGAATGAATGAAAAAAATTCAATATTAGTCTTGACTTTTATAAAATAGATGAATGGAATATTTATATAAGCAAAAGAAAATTGTATGTAACAACTTAATCACTTCTATTTTGTTTAATAAAACGAACTGTTCCAAAATATATTTATATACTAAAAAACCTAATTTCAA